GGAATTACATTTACCCAAATTTATAAAATCAAATCAAAAATGTTTAGAACGAGTCGTAAATCCGACACTTTGGAAAGGAAAAGAACAAGTTCCATATACTGAACTCGAAGTGGATCTTGATTAAATTTGAACATCCTGAAGTTTTTGGTTTTAAGAAGTTACAAACTCAGTAATTAATTCAGCTTCATAATCTTGTTGCAAACGTCTCAATAATTTAGTTGTTTGTTTCAGAGCAGTCATATTGGTAATAATTACAGTTTACTTCCTAAATCTGATTCACACCATAACGATCGACATACCTAAACCATTCCTGTGTCTGATAAGTCATGGTAATGGACAAAAGGCCTCGTCGTCACTGAATATGACAGACGTATTATATTTATAACATATTCTCCTTTGATTTTACCCATAGGTTGCTGGAATTCAATTAAAATCTAAAGTTTAAACAGAAAGGACTGATCTAATGAACTAACGCGATTAAGAATTTGGTGAAAATAGTGCAAGGTTAAGTAACGACCAATAGAAATAAACCTTTGTGATGACTTAATTCACGTCACGAGCAGCGGTTGGCATCTCAAAAATTATTACTTTACAAAACTCATAAACTAAAGCACAAAATTTACTTCGTGCTTTCCGGTGACGCAGGTAACTTTGCCCTCTTATGTATAATTGTCTCCAACAAATTTCTAGAACATTCTAACCACTGCAAGAGTTATGTGTATACAGAGGAAGTACGGTGTAAAGCTAATGAGCTGGAAATATACGCGGTGTTAATAAACAGCATAATTCAGATCGTTTACTTGTGAAACGTCGAGAGAACCCGCAATTAATTACCTTATGGTAATAACAAGTCGAGCCTCAATTAATCTTACCCGGGGTGAGGAGGAGAAAGGGCTTGACGAATAGAAGCACTGGTCGCACGTGACAATAACACATGATTACATCCAACACAAGGGTGAAGAACGTGAAAGCAATTGGCTTTCCAAATTATGTTTGCGACCTTTGACCTGCTGTATGTTAGTTCTTTGGTCATCTATAGAAGAATAAGAAGGCGAGGGATGCCCATCAAATATTAATTATTTGAAATATCCAATGACGTTTTCTCTCCAGTAAAACAGCCTAGGACGTTATTTCAATGTGCTTTCCATTGGTTATCTGCCGCCTTCTCTAACTTTGAACTACTGACCAGTCGGTAGCACTTCAACCACACACACACACACCATCCATGACTGTCACTCTTATAATCCAACTACGGATATTTTTCTCCTTTCCAAAAATACCAATTACATAGCTGTAGTTATCATGAAAACAAAGTCTCTGACATACGTCTGTAATTATCAGCATATATATAATTATCAACGTCTGTAATTATCAGCATATATAATTATCAACGTCTGTAATTATCAGCATATATAATTATCAACGTCTGTAATTATCAGCGTATATAATTATCAACATATATAATTATCAACGTCTGTAATCATCAACGGCTGTAATTATCAACATATATAATTATCAGCGTATATAATTATCAACGTCTTTAATTATCAGCATATATAATTATCAACGTCTGTAATCATCAACGTCTGTAATTATCAGCATATATAATTATCAGCGTATATAATTATCAACGTCTTTAATTATCAGCATATATAATTATCAACGTCTGTAATTATCAGCATATATAATTATCAACGTCTGTAATTATCAGCATATATAATTATCAACGTCTGTAATTATCAGCATATATAATTATCAACGTCTGTAATTATCAGCATATATAATTATCAACGTCTGTAATTTTCCAAAATTGTTGAACCTTTCTCACCTCAAGTGAAATGTGTCGATTTTTTCGCGGTCCATCCATTAATTAACATAAATTCGAATTTTTTGATAATGTTCGTAACTTACAGGCTAAAACTTAATCCAATGTGTAAGATATGTTTATAGGTAGTATATTTTTGACATATTCTGAGCCATTTTTCACCCATTATGTGTACAAGATACATTGATGGATTCACTGAAACCCGAAGCGCTGTCGTACACTGATTTTACGTTCACTTTTTTTGTGGCTACCCAAGAGTGTTAATTTGTTGAAATTCGCGCAAAACTACTCGAGGGAAGGCAGCTATTCAACATCCCCCACCGCCAACTCCTGGGATGCTCTTTTACCAATGAATAGTGTGATTGACTGTCACGTTATAACGCCTCCTTGGCGAGGATATACGGCGAAGAGTTTCGATCCCGCAGAACGCGAACCGAGTTCCTTAACCATTAGACAGTGCAGTGCTAGTTGGGTTTAGGGGAAGGGGTCAGATGTATTTGAAATCAAGTATGCTTACAGTGATATTATTGGACGACCCTTACAAGAAACGTTGGTGCTACTCTATCATCTGTTGGCTAGCAATAAGTTAATTGGAAAATGTTAACGTTAATAATTGTTTGTTTGTAGTTTAAGCGGCTATCTGTGGTCTGCCTACCACGGGTATCGAAACCCGGTTTCTAGTGTTGTAAGTCCGCAGACATACCGCTGTGCCACTAGGGGCGTTACTTAGTGCACACCCTTCACAATAGGCAATCTGCGTTCTGTCCACCTAAGGGAATCGAACCTCGGATTTTAAAGTGTTCAACATTTCTATACGGATACGATAATTACTTTCTTAAATATAATATTCACCGATAGGATGACTTCATTTAAACATATTCATGTTAAACGTGTTAGTCTTAGGGTTAACGATTTTGAATATGCAACTCAGTAAGTCACGTGACAACCACGTCTAGATAACGTTAGTAGCGATGGAACGGAAAGTATCAGAACTACATTATGACATCGATGTTTCGTAGGTAATGTGTTGCAATCGAAAACTCATCATTTTTGGGAAGAGTATGTAACAGCCATTTCCAACTTAAGATACTCGGGAAGAGTATGTAACAGCCATTTCCAACTTAAAATACTCGGGAAGAGTATGTGACAGTCACCTCCAATTTAAAATACTCATACACTCAGATCATAAAAATCTGTTCAGATCGGGTACTTAGAATAATATTGGAAAGCAAAATAATATGGATCAACTTGGGGCACCAGGATCATCCAGTAGAAAGAGATTCGCAACAGGTCGTACCCCGTGTTCCAAATTTTAGTCTCGCGTAGAGATATTAGGTATGAAAACTATTATTTAATATTAAGAGAAATGACATTACATATATTTCTATTATATATTGTCATTAACGTATGTTTTGGTTCATTAAAAGTAATTACACTCCTGCATGATAAAAACATCTTTCCCTGGACGAATACATCTTGGACAAGTTATCATTCAGTGTACATGCCCTCAAATGTGAGATAAGTAACGAAAAACTTTGTACTGCCAACAGAAGTTTTTTTTACCCGAGACGCTAACCACTGGATCACGCCAGACTGAGATTTACCCGAGACGCTAACCACTGGATCACGCCAAACTCAGATTTACCCTA